GAAAATCCAGAGGGCTACAAAGATGCAGCCGTTGCTTATATCGTGTTTTTTGCACTCGAAATCACGTTGGATATAACACTTTGGACATTTCTTTGGTGTACAGGAAAACACGACGCCTGTGTAGTAGTCTCTGTCGTGTTGTCGATCTTCTTCGAAATGCCGATCATGATCTGTGGACTATACTTGATGAGGTACAAAGGCACCATCGACTGGGACCAGCAATTCTTTGAGCTCATGTTTCAAATATGGTACATTGTGAACCTAATGCTCCAGATCACTTTTGGAGTTGCCGATATGGTATACCATTGGAAGTTTTGGGTAGTCGTCTTTGTTGCTCCTCTCTCGTACGTCATTGCTTGTTTACCATACGCTTTTGTGATCATACCGATGTCTGGATGGCATTGGGGGTTTGGAATGTTAGATGGTTATTTTAAAAACAGACAAAAGTACGTCCATGGGACATTCAACTCTACTGGCACACATAACATGTTGGATTTTTTGATCGTGTCTGGCCGTGTTGGTCAGTGGATATGGAACATAATTCTTGGCATTATAGTATTTACTGTTTTAGTAAAATGTCTTAATAAAGACAGCGGACGAGTGGAGCCGGACGACTGAAGAACGACAAAGTAGGAATTGGTCATTGGACTGAATTTCTTGTGCACTTCTCTGGTTGACAATCAATAGATAAATCCCGCATTCGCTTGGATGATGAACACGAATCAATCGCTTCAGTTTGAGGCTGGAGTTTTCGACAAAAGATAAAACTCCAGTCTTGAAATGAAGCCATCGTTCCGTGTTCATCCAAGCGAATGCGGTATTGGTCTATTGCTATACTTAAATCTGGAGAAACTTTAATACTTTTGAAACATTTGATTTATTGAAATACCTTTTACTTTATCTGCTCCACCTTCAATTATTTCTTATTCATTTTTAAACTCTAAAACGTTTATAGAGAATTGAGCACCTTTTTTTGAGCACCTTTTTTTCTGTTAGGACCATGAAGAAGTACCATTTGTACAAATTTGACAGTTTGGCACTGATTAAGTTAACAATGAATCCCTTCCACAAAGCCGAACTGATATTGTTTGACAGGAAAAATGTACATTTTGATTAATCTGAAATAGTACGAACTAGAATATGTTTCCAGTTACACTGAATATATTTTTTAGGCATGAAAGCAAAGATGCTAAGCATACAGCACGTAGCTTATCTAATCTGTAAGTCTCACATTGTTGTTTTTACGTGTTATAAGATGCTATAGTAAAATAATTGAAGATAGTTTCCCGTCATCAGTGTCTAATTTATTTTACATGGATAACGCTTAAAACTGTTCAAAACTTTAGTGGAACTATACTAGCGATATTCGCTTGGCTAGGCACACCAGTCAAATATAGATATAAAAATTGTATATTTTACTACGTGGTAAATGGAAAAGTTTAACACTTCCTTTAGTCACCGACGACATGTAAGAGGTACTAACCTATTAGTATTTGTACTATTTTGTGCAATATAGTAATAGGTTCAGAAAGAGCTATTTCTGCCATGTAGAGTAAACGCACTTAATCCGTGCAACCGTACAAACTAAATTGTGCTTTTTAGTTGTATTTAGTAAATCATGCATGCGGTACGAAAATTAAATTGAGTTGATTCAAATGAAGCATTCAATACCGTCTTGCTTCAGGTCCACTTTTAGTACAAATTARWAYTACTTAGATTTTGTACAGTTGCACGGATTAAGTGCGTTCACTCTATTATTCACCAATCATGACAATCAAATTTTACTTCATAAGTTTTCGAAGGTCAAACATGATGTTGATTTTTTTAGCAGCAGAAAAAGTTTTTAAATAATCCACTCTATACTCAAAATGGTGGGAACTAGCGGTAAACTAGTGTGAGCTGCGTCGGTGTTTCTAAAGAAACAGTTATGTAAAAAGATAAATTCAACACCGTAAAAAAGTATGTGGAAAAACTTACTGACGTTTCGGATGTTAATCCTACTACACCTAGTTCTCTCTCTTTACTCCGACGAAGGATTAACATCCGAAACGTCAGTAAGTTTTTCCACATACTTTTTTACGGTGTTAAATTTATCTTTTTACATAACTGTCACTCTATACTCAGTCTCGGTTATAATCAAATAACTTGGTATCGAGAGACAGATCTTTCAAATTAAGTTACTTTTTTCTGTTTTCTGCTTCCTGCTTCCGGGGAAATTCCCCCGAATTATTTTCCAGTCATTGTAACTGGAAAACAATTGTCCTGGTCAATTACGTCACAATAGCTCTAAGTGATATCTACTAAAAACTGCTCTTTTTGCTTCGAAACCAAAGTGATGCAAACAAGGCACATGAACTGGTGAGTAGTGCAGAAGCAAGCCAACATATACAAAATGCAAGAAGTCGTACTTGGCATGATCGAGAAGGTCAGTGACACAATAACAACAGTCTCAATCAACAATGACACATATTGTAAGATTTCATGGGCATTAAAAATCATCGCTCAAATCATTGAGATTGTCCTTGGAGGCATTCTTCTCGCTACAGATATCGCTCCAAACTTGAAAAACGATTTTAATTTAGAAAATCCCGAAGACTACGAAGATGCAGCAATTGCCTATATCGTGTTTTTTGCACTTGAAATCATTTTGGATATTATGCTTTGGACATTTGTGGTGTTGAGTGGAGGACACGAAGGTTGTGCAGTTGTCTCGGTGTTGCTGTCAGTCCTTTTCGAAATGCCAATCATGATCTGTGGACTATACTTGATGAGATACAAAGGTACAATTGACTGGGACCAGCAAATGTTTGAACTCATCTTTCAAATATGGTACATTGTGAACATCATGCTGCAGATCACAGTAGGGTTTGCTGAAGAAGTCTGTTACTGGGGAGTCTTCATCCTTGGACCTCTCTCGTACGTGATTGCTTGTCTACCATATGCGTTTGTGATCATACCGAAGTCTGGATGGCATTGGTATAAATCGATATCTGAGTACTACGATAACAGCCGTGACTTTATCCACGGGAAGTTCAACTCTACTCACACACAGAACATGCTGGATGTATTGATCGTTAGTGGCTTTGTAGGGCAGTGGATATGGAACATACTTCTCGCTATATTAGCCACTTCTCTTATACTTACTATTTGTGCCAAATGTCTTGGCGGTGGAGGCGGTAGTGTTGGCCCGGAATGAGTTTACGTTTAATGCCTTGCTCACTGATACAGTGTATGTTAAATATATTTTCGAGATTTACTCTCGATTGTTGTAAAAACTATAATATTTACATTACAATTCCTACTACCTGTTCATCGTTTATTAATATATCGTTATATAGTACGTTATTCATACTTCTACTCTTGTTAT